TATTCGTTCCAGTGTCTACTGGCTTCTGGCATCTCATGTCACAGAACACGTTCCTATCATGACACACCCTCTGACCCTGCACTTTAGTCTCTGGTGTCAGGTGAGTTTTGTCAGCGGCTGGTAGCGGTGTTCCTGGAAGCCATTTCTACACGGAGACACCTAGCAATAACTTACAAACCTCACATCTTAGTAAACCCAAACAATGTAAGCTCAATTCAATTTCCCCTTGGCTAGATCTCTCCCCCGAATGATATAAGGGAAAAATGTGACAGAGGGAAGTTGGAGTGGAAAGAGACAGCAATCTGACCTGTGATTAAAATATATTACTTTTGCAAAATTTACAAAAGAGTATGACCATATGAACACATTGTTGGGCCCATCCCAGGGCCTTGAAAGGGTCAGTGCAAATGAGCAGCTTCTGGGTGGATCCTCCTCTGTATACCTGGCTGATGCAGCAAGATTGTCCCTGCAGTCTTCTCTCTGCTGGGGTCCCACTTCCGGCTGACCCTCACTCTCTGCCTCACTTCACGTCACTCTCTGCACTTGCTGGCTCCTTTTGATTCTTCTCCATGCCTCGGGGAGTTTGGAATCAGAAGTTCATAAATTCCCCTATAACTAGAAAGTGGCCAATTGTGTAGCCTTATCCTTTTGTTGAAACAGGTGTGTCCAAACAAGTACTGACAGCAAGTCAGCCACTCACACACATTCCCCTCGGGTGGATTCTGCCCTTTCTACAGCCTCTACAAGTGAAGCGTCCGTACAGGTCCATCTGGCTTTGCTTCGCAGGAGCAGCTGTTCTGCCGGACCCAGGGATTCTTCACCAACCTGGTCAATGACTAATGGCCTCAATACATTTCACGCTGTTTCCTCCACGCTACTGGTAGATTCCAGGAGCTTCTACCAAGAACATGTTACTTTCACTAGCAGCTCTTAAGGTCTCTGCTGAGTTCTCCGTGTCTCCTGAGTCTCAAATCTTGAGCTCTGCAGCACCACCCAACACACAGCATAGCGTCTTTCCTGTGATTTCTCTAAAATGTCTCTCACCCAAGCTGTTACATACAGTAGATTGACTGACAGTTTCCTGGAGATCCAGGGACGGATGGTGTTGAGTGCCGGAGCAGAGGATGGGTTTCATCAGAGCACACAGCTGCAGAACAGATAACTTAAGGTTCAATATTAGACATTCTGTCCTTGAAAATTCTTTGGCTATTTCTGCCACAGGACATTTTCACTGGCAAACTTTCTTCCTTTGTCCCCTTGCCTTCTCCTGCTCTGCAGGCTCTCTCTCTCCTGGGCTATATACCCCTCTTCCTCTTACACATTTATGCCCCCTTCCCAAACTTCCTCCCTCCCACTTCCCACATCTGCAAATTTCAGGTCTAACTTTCCACAGCCAGATATTTCTTGCCCTAAGGAATTACATTGCCTGTTTTTAAGCTACCATTTTTTAATGAAATATTCCAAGGCACTGCTGTCGAGGCAGCCTTCCCAGAGAAGGGAAAAAAAAAAACCAACCGTGCCCTGTCTTGGGAGATAGCGCCACCTACTGCCCACTGAAAACACACAGCTGAAGGACCCTCTCCACTGCCTGTTCCGGGGAGGTGGCCGATCATCCAGGTAAGAATAATTTTAGAAGGTGCACAGAATTTGAGGTGATGACGAGACATCCAAGGTTTCACAGGAATTTAAACTCGGTAAGGATATCAAGACCAGGAATAAGGATCTGGATGGTATCGGGGCTCAAGGAAGTTACAAGATCTGGGTAAGGTTAACAACTGCCAAGTGGCAGAGTAGAGATCTCAATCTGGCCAGTCCACCTTCAAAGTCCAAATAGCTCCACCTCATTGCTCTAGCAGGGAGTGAGTATGCTTACAGATGGTAGTCAGAGAAGAGAAAGGGAACCCAGGAGGCAGTGAAGAAGAGAATTTCAAGGAAGGGACTACTGATGATCTAGTGTTTCAGAGCTGTCACTGTGGATCTGGGCTGAGGAAACATAACTAAGATTCGGGTTTAGGATTGAGCTGGAGATTTTTGAAAGAATGGCTTAAGCTACCCACCACTGGGCTCGGCATTGGATGGTATGCAAAGATGGAAAGACATATTCCTATCATACCTCATGGAGCTAAATGTGAGCCAAAGTCAGGGAAGCTGGCAAAAGTTTAATGGCAATAAATTAGGTGGTGATTCAGGAAAGGGAGAGACGCATAGACGTCTGTAAGCCCCTCTGACACCCTGTGCAAGTTAGAATGGGCCCCTCCTCCACTTCAGAGCCAATGCTCCTCCGTGCCAGGGTCCACGGCTTGGTGAGGGGACTGTGGGCTGCATCTCAGACCCTCTACTGGCTGCTCTTGTGCAGTGAACAACCTGCCAAACTGTAAGTGGAGGCCCTGGAAGAATGAAGACTGAGCAGTTAGGATGGTTTCATGCAGGAAACTGGGAGATGAGCTGGGCTTAAACTGATATGAAGAGTTTAGAGCAGCTGCAAGGAAGAGGTAGGAGGGCTTCTCCGCTGGGAAGTGTCAGAGCAGAGACAGAAAAGAAGTGACGAAGGAGAGGGAAAAGATGCAAGTCACCTGACTCCTGGCTCTAGTATTTTAAAGTAGGTGAAATTACGTAAGATCGCTCATTCAAAAAATTATTGAGCACCTTCTATAAGCAAGGAGCTGTGCTGAATAGGCTGTGAGGCCGGAGACTTGTAATAACCCCTAACAATTGTGCACTGGTTTATAGTTTATAAAGCACATCCATTCCCAGCTACAGCATCTGATCCGCTCTCCGGGGAAGGAGGCAGAGGTTGTGGCTGTCCCAGAACATGAAGCCCCAAATCTCAGAATTAGGACCAAAATTCAGATCTTTTGGCTAGTCCAGAATTCATTCTAGCCACTGATTCTTCCTCTTCCTTAGATTTAAGTAATTGTTTAAATAGATGATACATTTACTGGTTCCAAATTTAAAAGTTACAATGTGAACACAGGAGAAGGTCCCCTTCCCACCCGTGTTCTCCAGCCACCCGGACATCTAAAGTCAGTGTCATTTTTTTTTTTTTTTTTTGAGGAAGATTAACCCTGAGCCAACACGTGCTGCCAATCCTCCTCTTTTTGCTGAGGAAGACTGGCTCTGAGCTAACATCCATACCCATCTTCCTCCACTTTATATGTGGGACACCTGCCACAGCATGGCTTGCTGAGCTGTGCCATGTCCGCACCCGGGATCTGAACCGGCGAACCCCGGGCCACCAAAGCGGAACATGCCAACCTAACTGCTGCGCCATCAGGCCGGGCCGGTCAGTGTCATTTTAATTTTCATTTTCTTCACATGCGTGAGATTGAGCATCTTTTCATCTGTTTTAGAAACATTTTGTATTTTTTTTTCTGTGAAGTGTTTGTTCATTTCCTCTGTCCAGTTTCCTACTTGGTGGTTGATAATTTCTTTTTTATTTGTAGGAGCTCTCTATGCATTAGAGAAATTTGCCCTTTGGTTTTGATGATAGTTGTAAATATTTTCCTTTTACATTTTCATTTGATCATATGTCTCTTGACATTGCTTTTGTAGTTTTTTTCCATGCTGATCTTTTAAAATGTGGTTGAATTTATCTGTCTTTCCTTTTATGACTTGTACGCTTGGATCATACTTAAGCTAGTGTTAACTTAAATACGTGCAGTGGATCCCTGCCTTCAGGTTGCTCAAGAAGCCAGGAGGAAAATCAAGAAAAGTATCTAAATAACTACAGAAGTTACCATACGGTCAGTACTCTAAGGTGGTACAAAGCGCTATTTCTTTACCTGTTTATCCAGAATCCAGCTATCAATCTATCTGTCCTTTCGCCCACCCATTTATTAAGTCTTTACTGAACTCTTTCTAAGAGCTGGGAAAGGTGTGAAGAGGTGATGTTTTGTGGCGATGAAGCACGTGGGCTAGGATGACAGACACCCAAATCTGGATTCTGGCTCAGTTTACCCCTCTGTGGCCTTGGGCAGTCACTTAATCTGTCCACATTTTTGTTTCTCATGTTATCTCATGAGATGTGACAGAAATGTAGAATGTGGAGCCGTCAAGGATTAGAGGTCGAAGAACAGACGTGGTGGTGTGTAGCTTAGGGAGAGAGCTGTAAGATGAGCCCCATGCCTGGCTTTGTGATTTCAGGTGGGGAAATCTGAATTCTGACAAGGTCCAGAGAATGGTCACTTAGGGTGGGTGGCAAAAGTAAAGGTCACTGGATTGAGCAAGTCAAGGGGCTGCAGGGCCTCGGTGTGGATGGTCATCTACACAGTCCTTGAAGTCACCGGGGATGATGGCAAAACATGAGCTAGGGAGAACCCTGCAGGCCTCGTGTGCAAGTCCTAAATAAATTAAAGGGATGGCTCTGCGGAGGGCGGGCAGGAAGGAGTAGCGCGTGGACAAGCAGAGCTCCACAGCAGGTATTTTATCTGGCTCTGGGGAAGTCCTGCTCAGGAGGTGGTAGTATGGGACGAGGAAGAGGCCCACCCACCCGTGACCCTGAGATTCAAGGGGACTGTCTATCTCCTTTGAGAAGAAAGCCAAGGAACCGTGACTTTGGGAAAGTGACTTTAGCAGCACCTCCACAGCAGACAGTGGCAAAGTGGGGCTGAAGGAGGAGACTATGGAGTGAGATTTTAACAAGAATCTTGAACCTTCTAAAGCCTCAACTGGCAGTCCTTATTGGCGGGACCCTCTGTGGGCCTCTCCAATGTCAGGGCAGAGACTAGCTTGACTGGAGAGAAACTGGAAGACAGCAGGGTGGGCAGTTGATGTTCCAGTGTCATGAGTAGACCCCATGGTTCTGTGAAGCCTGGATCCTGAGGTACCATAAGCTGGGGTTCCGGGAGGTCCTCATTCAGTGAGTTGACTCTCAGTTCGTGTCATTTACATCGAAGGCCCCAAGACCTTCCTCCTCTCCTTGAGCAAATAAGCCACACCCTGCACCAATCAAAGTCCATCTCACCTTCCAACTGCTCCAGGTCAGTTACTCAGCCATGAGTTGTTTCATTTTCCTGGTAAGTCAGTGTTTCTAGGAGAGGATGGGCCTTTTCACCTCTCCCCAAGTTTTACTGATACGTGAGCATATATAACCGGCACAATTTGAAAAGAACCATTCACTGTTGGCCATCTCTCCAGATCTGGAGCCTGAGAAAATGACCTGAAGTTGTAGCAGGAGAAATTGAGGTAGGATACTAACAGAGCTTTTTGGGAGGAGGACTAGGCAAGAGGTTTGGGGATGAAGGGATGAGAGTGAATGCAGTGTTTAAGGGAAGTGATGAAAGGGGAGTACTTCCTTCTTTGGGTCATCTTTGGAGATGGTTTGAAAGGAAAGGTAAAGGTGATTTTGAACATGACCCAGGTCTCTGGTCTGCTCTGTGTCCTGTTCTCTTTCTCTTACCCTTTCACTGTGGAATCCATATAACCCTGGAAAGGATGCTGGTCGAGAGAATGGCCAGCTGACAGAGATGCTGATGCAAATGGTTGGTAGTAGTAGTTGATAGCAGTAGCCAAATGCTTAGAGTGTGACCAGGAGCCTTCTAATATTCCAGGGTGGGAGAGGACACTCCAAACTCCTGCCAAATTCTCCCAGCTGAGGGTAAGTTAGAGGCTTTCAACTTTTAAGTTCATCATGCTCTGACTTCTGGCCATGATGCTCTGGCCTTTTTAACTTTGAACTATAAAAATATTCACAGAAAACTCTGAAGAGGAAAATAGAATTAGTTTTTGAATCACCTGCTTCCTCCAGGTGTCTGAAAAATCAAGAGTGATTTCAAGTTTAGTAAGTAAAAGGAAACCAGAGGGTGCATGTCAGCTGATGAGATATTTCTGCAACTCACGGAGAACTGTGGTTTGTGTGGTCTGTCTATGCCTCCAGTGATGGAGAGCGGGCAGTTGCCTGAAGTTGTGGGGCTAAGTCATGTCCTCCAGGCTGCTCTAGGGCTGCCACCTTCCAGCTGGGCCATCTTACCTGGATTGTCTATGTGGCAGGCCTTCCAAAGCCCCAGTGGAGAAAGAGGTCCTATGGACAGGAGGCTGGCAGTGTGGGGTGGAGACCATGTTCCCTTTGCAAGAGGACTGCCGGGAAGAAGGCATCTGCCCCATTTGCCAGGAGAACCTGAAGGAGGCAGTGAGCACTGACTGCAAGCACCTCTTCTGTCGAGTGTGCCTGGCCCGGCACGTGGCAAAGGCCCCGGCCTCTGGAGTCCTCTGCTGTCCTCTCTGCCGGAAACCCTGTTCCGAAGAGGTGCTGGGGGCAGGCTATATCTGCCACAGCCACCAGAAGAAGGTGTGCTGGTTCTGTGAGGAAAGCAGACATCTTCTGTGTATGGAATGCCTGGTGTCCCCTGAACACAAATCTCATTGTGAGCTGGCCATTGAAAACGCCATCAGCCACTACAAGGTAAGGCTGGGTCCCCACCTCTGTGACTTTCTCTTACTCCTTCTACCCTTCTGTCCATTATGCCTGGCATCTCACAGAGGCTCAATAGCTAAGACTTTTCTTGTTTCTTCTGCTTCATCCTATTTTGGACACTTGTCTTTGCTTTTCCGTATATTTTGCTACTGGTATTAAAGTGTCAACACATTAATATGAGTGTAAGAGGGGATACTGTCACTGTGATGTCAGATTCTCTCTGACACTGTGATGTCAGAGAGAAGCATGAGCTACTCTCACTTTCTCATCTGTAGAATGAAGGAGTTGGACTAGATAATGCAAAACGCTTTCAGTACTAAGACTATTTATTTCCTGAGGTTGATAGTACTAGAAATGGGGTAGAATGCAATCAAGTTTGACATATGCTAATAAAATCCTGCAAATATATCCATTGGAACCTGGAGATTAGTACATGAGTCTCTCTCTCTTTCTCTTCCTTCTTCCTTTGTCTTTTCCTTCCTTCCTTTCTATAGCGATTATCTTCATCCTATTTTATTTAATTTTTTATCATAAAAGTTACATGCTCTTGGAAATAATTTCAACCAACACTTTAAGGTATAAAGTCAGGACTAAAGTCTTTATTCCTGCTTTCCTCCATTCTCAGTCCCTAGAGGTAACCATTGTTAGATTTTTGTGTATCTTCCTTCCAGAAAATTTTGTGTGTGTATCAACGCACTCTTTAAAACACACACACGCACAAAAGGATTCTCTATTTTTTTCTGTAAGTCATTTTTATCATCTAAAAATACATCTTGGACATTTTCCCATTTTCCCATCAGTATGTATAGATCTTATGAATTCTTTTCAACAATCACATGGTATTCAATTCTATGAATGTCCATAAATTGTCAGACATTGCGTTATTTCCAGATTATTGTTTTGTTTTGAGATCACGTGGAATGCTGCAATGAATACCCTTCAACGTATATTTTGGAGGACTTAGCATACCCAAGATATATTTTGGTGAAAGAGTAAGGTAACTTCCAGCAACAAGCAGCTTTTCCTATCACTGGTTTTTGAATAATCCGTAGTCCCCCCACTGATTTGAATGCCAGCTTCGTAATATGCCATGTACGCACATACATATACTCGTATGTTTTCTTGACTCTCTATTCTGTTCTATTCTTCTGTCTGTTCTTTCCTCTGTATCAAACCATTTTAAACACTCTATCTTTGCAACGTGTTTTAATGCCAGTAGATCTTAGAACCCTCACAATACTCTTATTTTTCAGAATTTTTGTGGATATTCATGTGTTTATTTTACCATTAGCTTTAGCATTATTTTTACCAAGCTTCCCTCCCTCCCACCCCCAATCCAGTCAGTGTTTGACGTATTTTCACCACGGTGTCTTTCTATCAAATAATGAAGGATGAATTTCCAAAGGCTTCTATTCAATACTTGACTTTTTGAGAACTTGTTATGATACAGGATGAGAAAGTGGGGAGTCTAGGTTGGGGGTGACTATGGGAAGGTAGAGAAACAGTTTTGAAAGACAAAGAGGCAGAGCTCTCTGGTTCTAACGTCATTCCCTCTAGGTGCAGTGTACCACGGGGTGGGAGGGGCTCCCACCTGCTGATGAGCCAGGCACGAGATGGAGAAAATCTGCTTTACTCACTTGATGATTTATTCAGGTCTGTGCTTGTGTAGAACATCATGCTAGGGACTGTGGGAAGTAAGAAGATGATTCATAATCCTTGTCCTCAAGGCTACCTTTAAATTTTGACAGGACATCTAAAATAAATAAATAACAATATTTGTTCATTTAAGAAAGACTTAAATAAGTTCCTGAAGTGTGTTAGGAACTACAATATGTACCAGGAGTACAATGATGAACAAGAGAGATGCCATCTCTGCTGGCAGGGAGTTTTCAGTTTATAATGGAGAGAGACAAGAAATCAAACAAACTACAAGTTTTTAATGAGCCAGAAAGAAAACAAGCAAGGATCTGAGGTGGAGAGTAATGGGTAACTCATGTTAGTGTGGTCAGTGAGGGCCTCATGGAGGAGGTGACACTGAAACTGAGACCTAGAAAAAGAAAAGCCAACCAATGGGAAGAATGGGAGCAATCAGAGGCCCACGTCTGGAAAAGTCTCGTTATATTTGAAGAATTTATAATTAGAGTTTGAATTGACAGCATGTACTGATAGATTAGAAGTGGGGTAAGGGAATGAAGGGAATCAAAGATGACTTCATGAGTTTCTGTCTTGAGAAACTGGATGGATGACGGAAAGATAAGGACTGGGGAGAACAGGTTTGAACAAAACATCGTTTCATTTAGGACAAGTTGAGTCCAAGTTGAGACACATCAAAGTAGGATTTTAGATATGCAGATGGATATGAACTCTGGATCTCCAAAGGGAGACTTGAGTAGTATTCCCAAAATTTAGAATGAGGATCCATCAGAATAAAGATGATATTTAAATCCAAGGGAATTGATGCAATAGCCTCAGGAGAGAGTCCAGAGAGAAAAGAACTTCCAGGGCAAGGTCCTGAGAAAGGCCATCCTTTAGACGTAAGGTAGAGGAGGGCCCAGCAAATGAGACTGAGAATGAGCCACTAGCAAGGCAGGAGAGGAGCAAGAGGGGTGGTGTTCCAGATGCTAAAAGAGAAGAATATTTTAAGAAGTGATGGCAGAGTGTGTTGAACGATGCCGAGCAGTCCCATAAGATAGGGGGCGGAGAAGTGAATGCCGGGATGGGAGGAAGTGCACTTCTTCCGTTGTAACAGTAGGAAACAAAAGAAGGTGTCTGCAAGCGTAGGTAGTTTTGTAGTCTGGGAGACAGCTTGAGTGTTCTGGTTGATTTCCTCAATAACATGTGAGGAAAGACCATCAGCAACGTAGTAGAGATGGGGATGTGAAAGGTTTGAAAAGAGAGGAGAAGGTGTCATATCGTTTGTGAAAGCGAACCAGTGAGAGAAACTGAGTAGGATTGGCAGGCGGTGTGGAGCACCAATTTAAGTTCTGAAACTAGGGATTTAATGTGTTTCATGAGACTGCTTGAGGACAGCCAAGGAAAGACGATGGTAAGAGTTTATCCAGGCAGGAGTTGCCCGGAAAGTAACAGAAGGAGAGGCAAGGGAGACGAGGGTGTTTCTGAAGGAGTGATGACAATGGTGGACTCTGTGTGTGTTTGTAGATGTTGATAGAGTTTTGAAATAAAGGTTTCTTATGATTTCTCACCATGTTTCTATTTCTTTGAATTACATTTTCTTTTTTTTTAAGATTGGCACCTGAGCTAACAACTGTTGCCAATCTTCTCTTTTTTTCTTTGTCTCCCCAAATCCCCCCAGTACATAGTTGTATATATTTTTTAGTTGTGGGTCCTTCTAGTTGTGGCATGTGGGACGCTGCCTCAGCGTGGCTTGATGAGCGGTGCCATGTCCGCGCCCTCAGGATCTGAACCAGTGAAACCCTGGGCTGCAGAAGCAGAACGTGCGAACTTAACCACTCGGCCACTGGACCAGCCCCTACATTTTGTAAATGTTATAAACTGTGTCCTGTTTAAAGGAATTATGTAATCCCACACTGCACTACAGAAAGACTGAAAAATTTGCAATGCTACAAAGTCCTTTTTGTACACTTGTTTCCCCAACTGTCCAACCCATGTCAGTGTCAATTACTTTAATGTATTTTGCTGATTTCCTACATATGTAACAGTGACTGAAGTTTTTTGCTTTGCTTGATTATGAATGCTGGTGGTGAGATTTTCTTCTATATGAAGACTCGCTGTCTGCATTTTCCCCTAGAATCAGAGCATACCTTTTACATGACTGCATAAACATAGTTTGTCTTTTGGATAATAAACTATATTCGTTATGTTTCATAACCATTTTTCTTATTCCGTTATTTCTTTTCTTATTTATTGTATTTTGGGGCAAAAGTTTTAGAAGTTTGTATGTAAATCAGTTCTATTGTTTAAAAAAATATAATCAGTGTCTTACTTAGAAATTCATCTAAATGATTTGCTTTTCTGTTTCCTTTTTAAATATTAGTTAATTCCTTGCTTGTTTGGAATTTAGTGTACTGTGTTGTATAAAGGAGGACACTATGTTAATTTTTCTTTATGCTGACATCCAGCTGTCCCCAAAACATGTCTGTAAGAGTGAGTCCTTTCCACATCTATGTGTTGTTTCTGGTTTGACATAAATTAAATTTTCATAATAGCAGGGTTTTTTTTCACTCTAGTCCATTGGTTATTTTTTCTTTTCTAAACTTGTTATATAGTTTTAATACTTGTTTTGTTTTTTAAAAAAATCTATAAGCATCTTTGCCATATAATAATTTTTTGTAACCTGATGTTCTTCTGACTGTCTTTTCAGAGGAATTTTCTTATGCAATGTTTCTAAGTTTTATAAAGCATTCCCTCAGATTTTAATTGGCATTGCATTAAATTGGTTGATTACATTAATGATTATAACTTTTGGGGGCTTACTTAATTTTATCAACTAATAGTCGAATATATCACTGTGTTTTCATTTATGTTTCTGAAACAGATGCTAAATTGTCTTTACTTAAACCTTGTATTTTATAAGGTTCATTTTTTGGCAATTGGTACTTGTAGATCAAATGAGAGTCTTTGCTGAGCTCATATATCCTTTAAGTTAATTTCCTGACCTTTTCTAGATGCACAATCACATGGACATTGTTAGGTTTAGTCATCAACACCACTTTTCCTCATAAAATATAACGAGTGACATCATTCTCATCCAGATTTTGCAACATTTTTAGTTCGATAAGGAGGATGCTTTTCGAAAGTTGGTAGTTTTTTTGGAAACTGTATCAGAAAAAGGCAGCTTTTTGCCTGTTAACCACTTTTTCTTTCATGAGTTTTGTTAGTAAGCCATTTGAGAAAGAATTTCAGTGTTGCTACGTTCTCATGTTTCATCACTACTTAATGCTCTTTTTGGTCAATTTTTTATACTGGAAACCACATTTTATCTGATATCTGGTAGAATCACAAACTTTTAAACGTATCCATTAAGACAAAACAGGTCTTATACTATTCCCTATATTTCAATTTGGTTTTTTTCCCAGAAGAATATTTTAGGAAGATAAAAGTTTGTAGAATTTTGCTTTTTAGTTCTAACGTGTGCTTTATTCACATGATATGCACCCACTAAATATTATTTTAATGCAAAAATGAACAATTTTTTGAAGAACAGAGGACTTTACCTTACTCATGTTCGATATTGTAAATGATAGATCGGTATTATCTTTATTTCATGCATTATTCTTTATTGCTGTTATCTTTGCTTTCTTTTTTACTTTACGCATTGTTTGCAGTTGACTTTAAAGTCTTTATTAAATTTTCAACTACGCCAGAAGATAGGACTGTGGCTTTTTGGACTGGATCTTAAGAATGGGCCTGATTTTGACAGGCAGAAATAGATAGCGTTCCTTCCAGAGGGAATTAAAAAGGAAGCCGTGAGGAGGTGTGGCTGCATGGGGTGTGTTCAGGAAACCCCAAGTGACTCTGTTTGGCTGCTGCAGAGAACATGGAGAGAGTAGGGAGAGTAACGCTGGAGTTGTAAATAGGGTTAGGTCACGGACAGCCTTGGATCCTGCATTAAGGAGTTTGGGTTTATCTTTGGTAATGAGAAGTCATTTTAAGAGAGGAGTAGCATAGGTAAAAGATGAAATAGGTCTGAGATTTCAATCTGGGTGACAGGCAGACTGGTGGGTCCAATGACAGAAGCATGAAGGTCAAGAGTAGGGGATTGCAGAAGAGAGTGGGGAAGGGGATCATAAGCATGATTTCTCCAGATTGGTTTTGAGCTGCCAATAGGGCAGTAGGAGATAATTAGCCCTCAGCTGGAAACGTGGGATTGACTGTTAGGAGAAAGATCTGGTTTGGGAATTGCGATAAGATCTTAAACCGCCAGATGGAAAGTGAAAGATATAGTTTGGAGATAGAAAAGTGTTAAGGAAACAACCTCAAGGAGGTCAAGGAAGGACAGGGCTTTGGGGTGGGGAGAGTGAGGTGGGACACGAGGGGAGAATTACATCAGAGAATAGGAAGCCTGAGAACTTCATTCCTGGAGATCAGTGGTGACCGTGGAGAGAGGAGTTTCAAAAGAGTGATGAGAAACAAAACAGTTGGCAGAGGAGCAAAGGGCCCATGAGGAGGGGAAGACAGTGGGGACTGACTACTCATTCAAGTTCAATTGTGAGGGGCCGGCCCAGTGGCGCAGCAGTCATGTTCAATTGTGAGGACAGAGACAGAGAGTAGATTGATGAGGTGGCAAGGTGAAGCTTGTTTGTTTGCTTTTTTGAGCTTTAGGAGACCTGAACTTTTGTAGTCACACGAACAATTCCCCAGCCCAGCCTCCTCCTTCACCATTGAGACCCACGAGTGAAATCCACGATGCCCATTTATTACCTCCCACGCCTCCACTGAGTGTTTTATTCCTTCTCTGAAGGGAAATGACTGCAGGTGACACCCAGTGACATGACAAGTTTTTAATAACTTCCTAGTGACATCATTGTCTCCTCTGCTTACTGAAGCTTTTTGTTTGCATGGATGTCCTTGCCGATCTCTCACCCACAGTCCCTTGACTTTGATTGCACCTGCAGAATCTCAGCGCCAGAACTTTCAAAGTCATCTCCTCCAACCCCAACCTCCACACGTACATCTCCAGTAACGTGGGGCTCTTCCTGAAGCAACACATTTTAAGAGTTTATGAGAGGGGACCAGACAAAAATGACAAAAACAAAACATATTCCTCATAAACAGTCAACAACAACAGCAAAATCTGCTAATTTTTTTTTTCACCTGAGGTGGGAAGGATTCAGTTAATGAAACACACGCTCTTCAGTCAATAGCACATCCTTATCTTTAGCCCACAAATCCCTTTCTTGTTTTACTTGCTCGTTCCAGTTAATCACCATTCCTCTCCATCATGGGCAACCATTTAAAGCATTTACTGTATTTTTATTCATAGACGGTTTGGTAAAAACACATATTTCTGTATTGTATACTTGTATATTGAATTAACAAAGTTATATTATAGACCTCCTTCTATTTCTTGCTTTTCCACTCCACCGTGTTTTTAAGATCAGTGCATGTTTTGTGTGTCATATAGTCCATTGCTTATGACAACTGCATAGTATTCTGTAGGAGGCGTCTGCCACACTCTACTCATCCATTTCCCCAGGAATGTACTTTACCTGATTCCAACTCTCTGTTACCACAAACAATTCTGTAGTGTTCATGTCCTCTTAGCACATAAGTGAGGAGTTCTCTGGGATATTTACCCAGAAGCAGGACCACTGGTTTACAGAGGAAAGCACGCTTAGGTGGCCCAGACCCTCACCAGAGTGGCTGTGCTAGTGCACGTCTCACCAGCCTGCAGTACGTTCCTTATATCCACATCCATCCCCCACCCCTGGCATTTTCCAGTTGTCTAATTTTTATTAATCTGATCGGTGTCAGTCAAATACTATTTCATCGTTGTGCCAATTTCCATCTCTCTAATCACGGGTGAGTTTGGGCATCGATTCACGTGCCCTTTAGCCCTTTTCCTATTCCCTCTTCTGTGAATTAACTCTTCATATTCTTGGCAAATTTTTCTCTTGGGTTCCTGTCTTCTTATTGATTTGTAGCCTTTCCTTTTTACATTCTACAATTAAGTCTCTTGATTTTACACTTGGCAGATATCATCTCCTAATCCGTCATTTCTCTGTTAATTTTGTCCATGGTGTTGTCACTGAGCAGAAATATTTAATTTTGAGGTAATCAAATTAAATAATTCCTTCATGGTTTGTACTTCTGGGGGGTTATTTTAAGACATCTCTCCCTGCCCATAGGTCCAAAATTTATTCTCTAACATGATTTTCTTTTAACTTTATAGTTTTACCTCTCACACTTAGGTCTTTAATCTACCTGGAGTCTACCTTCACATATGGTTCGAGGTAGGGATCCAGCCTTATTTTTCTCTGTTCTTGCAGGCCAGTTTTCTCAACACGGTCTCTATAGATTCTGTCCCTTCTCTCTTCTGTCATTTTTGATTTGTTCTTGCACCAGTACCATACGATTTTATTGCTACGGCTTTGTATGACCTTTTATCTGGTAGGGCAAATGCATTTTATAACTAATATAACAAGAGATTACAAGAATATTTCCAGAATCTCTTGTTGACACCTGTCCTCTGGCCCTCACCTTTCTTCCACTTTGATTCATTAAAGGCCTATGTTGTTATCAGTACTGGCTTTGTTTATTTTTGCTTCCCTCATGGTTTATCAAAAACCCAAAAGCAAATTTTTTTGAAACTTAAATCATTCATTATATCCTTAGCTTCAGGACCCATTTGGACACTGATTTATGATTTAGAGAGAGGTCACATGCTTCCCTGGGCTGTGGGTTTGCATCCAATAGAGGGCTCTTGTCCATCCCAGCCAGGCCAGGGAGTGGTACCAGAGGCTTTGCATCTCCCCTAAGTCAGCCTCTCTAGACTTGCTTCACTTGCTGATGTGAAGTAGTAAGAATTGCCAGTGATCAGCATACAACTTTTAGATGTTGGGAAAAAACACCCTGAAGTCAAGTAGAAAAGCTTCTGTTACTACGTTATTTTTGTGTAGTTAAGGCTTTTAAAAAATTGCCCACACAACTAGAAGGACGTGCAACTAAGATATACAACTGTGTATGGGGGGGGTTTGGGGAGATAAAGCAGAAAAAAAAAAAGATTGGTAACAGTTGTTAGCCCAGGTGCCAATCTTTGGGGAAAAAAAAATTGCCCATAACTTCTTCTCCATCATTATCCATTAAATAAACTCATGTTCCTTATCCCAAGCAGGATGCTTTGAGGACTGCCTTTTTTTTGGAGGAATATTAGCCCTGAGCTAACATCTGTGCCCACCCTCCTCCATTTATATATGGGACGCCTGCCACAACATGGCTTGATAAACGGTGTGCAGGTCCACACCCAGGATCCTAACTGATGAACCAGGGCAACAGAAGCGGAGCACGTGAACTTAACCGCTATGCCACTGGGCCAGCCCAAGGACTGCCTATTTTTAAACAGAATTTTACTTTAGCCTCATCCTGGGTTCAGGACCCGCACCATGTTTGATTAAGCACCACCTTCACCCGTAGTGTGACAAGCAAGTGTGTCCGTCTCTCTAGGAACGACTCAACCGCAGAAGCAGGAAGCTCAGAAAAGACACTGAGGAACTTCGGCGGCTCAGGGCTCAGGAGGAGGAGAAACTGCAGGCTGTGCAGGTGAGATGTGCGGAGTCTTGGGAAGGACACCTCAGAGTGTCCTCAGCGCCCTTGCTCCCTGTCCTGGCCATGTTGCTGTCTGGAGCAGACTAATGTAGGAGGAGGTCCTGCAGGCTGGCAACCTGGGGGCTGGGCTCGGCCTCATGGTTTGCTGGCTGAGTGACCTGGGGCAAGTCAAGCCCTCTGATCTTCATGTGGTTTATATGTTAAATGAAAGCCAATCCTGTTCCACCTGGCTCACGGTGAGGATCAAAGGAGACAAGCGGCTCATCAATTGAAAATGACCACACAAACTTTAGGTCTCTATCTCTGTCTCTGATGGTCTACCTTTCTGTCCCTCTTGCCCACTTAGGTGGGGGTCTCTTCTCACCTTATAACCTGAAGGGTGTTAAAAGCAGGCAGTGGAAAGATATTGCTGAGCAGTGTGTGTGTGTGTGTGTGTATGTGTACCCACTGTGTGTGATATGGCATCCGTGGATGTTCACAAGAGTGTGAGGTGGGAGGGAAGGTGTACCCACATTTATGAGGAACACAGCTGCCTCTGCAATGCCTGTGACCCACAGAGGCAATGCCACAAGAGGAAGAGGACTGAGGAATTAACATTCTCACTCAGAGTATTCAGAGACTGTGAAGGACCAGGGAGACATTTGACACTGAATCTTAGGGAGTCCCTTTTCTGTAGTTTCAGGTAGACTGTGGGATCGACAGGCTGGAGGCTGAGCTGGAGAGCCAGCACCAAACCAGGAGACAACTGGAGACCCTCCCTCAGCAGTGGCCAGACCAACTGGAGGACCTGCCAGCAGAGGTGTCCAAAATCTTTGACATCTCCAGGGCAATAACTCAGCTCAACAACGTGGTCACTGATCTGGAGAGGACAGCTAAGGAACTGGACGCCAACACGCTGAAGGTACATACCTTGAGACACCTCCCAAAGATGAGGATTTTCCCCAGTTAGTAGGCAGGGCAGCTTACCTGTGGCACCCTTCTGGGAGGTCTAAGAAGGAGAGGCTTCCCTGTAACATGTGGTGGTGGCTTGTCCAAGGCCTCACAATGCTGCTACAGCAAGGTGGGGTGAGGGGGGCGCTATCCTCTCCAGTTCTCAAGGTCACCCCCCAGAGTGGCATCCAATAGCAGGTCAGGGAGGGAATTTGGAGGTGACAGGAACCTGCGAACCAATTATGATTCTCTCTCTCATTCTCTTTCTTCTAGAATGCCAGTGACTTATTGGCCAGGTATGAGCCGTCTCATCTTTCTTCCCATATGTGTTTACACATGCAAACCCACACAAGCATAGACATGCTCATGGGCTTTATCAAAGTCAAAGAGATCTACTTCTCTATTAACTTTTGTATCTTCATGCTACATGGCCAGTAGAAGATTCAACGGAATACACTGAAGGATTTCTTTATTTCTAGGAGTGCTCCACAGAAATAAGAGGCTATTTATCCCGAGTTAGAGAAAAGAATCAACGAATCACTTCTTCTGTCATCCTCAGCAGCTCTGACCTGTTCATCCCTGGACGACCTCATCTCAGACTCACCTCAGCCTCCTTGATCTCCTTTCTCCAACCTGTCTGGCTTTCCATTAGGTCTACCCCATGTACCTTCAGACTTGCCATCTCCTGAACATGACCCCCTTTTCTCACCCCCACAGCCGTGACCTGATGCCTGACCCTCTGACACTTGGACAATGCTCACATCCTCCTTCCTGAACCAAGTTTGTGCTGGTGGTTCCCACTGCAGAGGTCAGGATCCAAGATCTCCATTTTGCCTGTGAAACGATAATAATGCTCATCTCTTACAATCTCATATTAAAATAGGAGTACCCAGGCACCTGGATGGCATGAGCCCAATAGTGGTGATACCACCTCTGTGCATGGAGCTGGCAGGTCTGTTGGATGGAATATTCCTTCTGAGCTCCTGTAGCGCCTATTGTCTGTACCACTCACCTGGCACTTATTCATTATTTTTGTGGTGGACAGACTCTAGGGTGGTCCCCCATGAGCCTCCTCTCTTGCTGTTCATGCCCTTGTGTGATCCTCTCCCCTTGAGCATGAGCAGGATCTGTGACTTTCTTCTAATCAATGGAATATGGCAAAGGGGATAGGATGTGACTTCAGTGACTGTGTTACGTTGTATGGACTCCCCCTTGCTAACAGACTCACTCTTGAGACTCTCATTGCTGGATTGATGAAGTGGCCCCACGGCCAGCAGGCAGCCTCTAGGAGCTGACAGCAGCCTCCAGCCTTTAGCCAATAAGAAGTAGAGGCCATTGGTCTTGCAGCTGCAAGAAAAGGAATTCTGCTAATAGCCTGCATGAACTTGGAAGTGGATTATTTTCCCCAGCTGAGCCTCCAGATGAGACCCCAGCCCAGCTGACATCTTGATTGCAGTCTTGTAAGACCCTATGCAGAGGACCCAAATTTCTGACCCACAGAAACTGTGAGGTAATAAATGTCAAAGTAACTGTGATATAATAAATGTGTGTTGTTTTAAGACTAAATTTGTGGGGTTTTTTATGGAGCAATGGATAACATACATTTGTGTATTAATTATTTGTACATCACTTCTTTGGTTGAGTAAGGACAGTATTCTGTCTTTGTGTCTCCAGCGTCTAGGACAGTGCCCGGCTCATAGTTGGTGCCCAGTGAAATGTGTCAAGTGGATGTATGAATGAATTAATAGAAAATATAAGGACCTTCTTGATGTCCCATGTTCAACAAAGGCAGCCTTTAACTAGTATTTATTGAGTCTTTGCTGAAATAGTCAGTACTATACTAGGCACTGAGGGATATAAAGAATAAAACATGGCCACAGGAGGTGCTGCCTTATGGTGCAAAGAGTGGGAACTCAGATGTGTGTCAGACTTGAGTTCAAGTCCCAGTCCTGACACCTAATACCTCTGTAACCCTGGGCAACTTCATCTCTCTGAGCCTCAGTACTACTCCCTGTAAAATGAGGATAATGGTACCTGCGGCCTGGGACTGTCGTAAGAATTAAATTTTGTTATGTATGCTAGGTGCCTGCTGTAGTGCCTAACATGTTGTAAACATTCAAATGTGGTAATTCTGTCTTATTCTACTTCTGCGCTCAGAAGTTTATAATCTAGCTGTGGAACCAGTACAAGCATATACGGAATAACAAGAGAGTATGTGACACGTTAAATTAAGTGTCACAGTTGCTAAGTGCTGTGGGGGTCCAGAGGAGAGAGTGAGGCTTGGAATGTTGGGGTCAGCTTCCTGAGGGAGGTGGGGATTGAACAGCGGGAGAGAAAGGTGACAGCATTCAGATCAGGATAGCTCCACAAATGAAAATATGGAGGTAGAAAAAAGCCACAGCACATATGTAGGAGTCCGAGGAAACTGACCTGGTTAATCTGGACTATTCAGGAATGCGGAAGACCAGAAATCAAGCAGAGGGTTAGTTTAGTGACACAAAGATGTAGGCACCCATTAAAGATTTTTGAGTCAGGTGTGAACGGAACAAGTGGTGTTTAAGGAAAACCACTCTGGACTCTTGGTGCCAGATAGATTGGGGGCAGGAAGTTGGGGGTTTAAGGGGAGGCAGAAGGGGAAAAAGCCTAGCGTAGATGTTCAAATAAAGGAGGGTATTGTTACTAGGCAGGAAGCTGTAGGTCTCAGAGAAACAGGAGACACCAAATCTAAGAACAAGACATTAGCCAAGAAAAGAGCACTCCTGGAGGTGACAGCTAACCATACTTGCATCCTAGTTGAGTTATTGTCACACAGAGAATTTGCCAAGAACTATCCTACCCAGGAGTGGGAGGAGACTGAGGAGCTCCAAGGGCCTCCCTCCACTGGAGAGTCAGTTAGCCTGCAGGTGCCTGCCAGCCCCTCTCCCCTCTTCTGATATGACTACAGATGATTGGACTGGGGTGGGCATCTGACCAGCAGATGGTTGGTCAATCAAGCCTATGAGGTGGCCTAATGAGAAAGATTTTACCAAAGTGGGACAATGATAACCAACTGAACATCAAGTTCTCTTGGAAATTCAAAATGGGTCTGTGATGAACACCTCATTAGTTGGTGGAAAGAGCAGGAGCAGAGGGAATCAAAGCCACATGTGTGGCCGTGTACTGGAGCGAGTGTCCATGACCTGTGCTGCTCAGTGGCCACAGGATAATCCAGTCTCTAAGCTTCCTTGGACTTCAAGTGGCCTTCCTATCAGTTCTTACACATACAGAGGCAGTAGTACATAACGGACATGAGCACAGACTTGGGAGCTAAACCATCTGAATTCAAATGTGTTATTACTGTCTAATGTGTAATGTGTGTTATTGCTGTGCTGTTTACTCTTTGCTAACTTGGGACCAGTTACTCAACCTCCACATGTCTCAGTTCTCTCATGCATAAAATAGGGCTATAATAATACCCCCCCATATAAATATGTTATTTATATTATTATAATATAATAATAGTACCCCCTCATAGGGTTGCTGTGAGGATTAAATGAGTTTATATATAAAATATTTATTATAGTGACTGGCCAAAATGAACTCTATATGTGTTTGTTATTATTATTAACCTTTTCTTTTGGTGAGGAAGATTGACCAAAGCTAACATCTGTGCCAATCTTCCTCTATTTTTTGTATGTGGGATGCCTCCACAGCACGGCCTGAAGAGCAGTGCTAGGTCTGTACCCAGGATCCGAGCCCACGAAACCCGGGCTGCTGAAGCAGAGAATATGAACTTAACCCTTACACCACCGGGCTGGCCCATAATTATTAACATTTTAAAAATCTCTGGTTCTTCCTTTGGGATTTGGTTATGTCACCCCACCGCTCCTGTCACCCCCACCACAGCTTCCCATGAGGCCTAGCAAATGGTGGAAAATCCCATTTTCCATATTCACATGTCTGTTCTTATAAAAAACTTTCCTGTTATTTGAACTAACTTGAGTGAGTCTCCATTCTTTGTAATAGAAAGAGCTGTGACAGTGTAAGCTGTGAAAATGTAAGCTGTGAAAAAATATGGATGTCACTACAAGTATGCACTGCTCCTTTGGAGTCTCGGAGAGGGCGATTGGAAGCTTGGGACCTCCTGAATTTAGTGCTTCTCTGGAGGCGGGAACCCTGAATCCAGACTCTGTGAAAAGCAGAGCATGGTGCTTCATCGAGCTGCCTTATCTTGAAGTCATAATGTTTTAGGATCTACCTATTCCCTCTGTGCTCACTCCACCATCTAAAACAAGTAAACCTCAAATACAATTACTCCAGGAGAGAAGCAGGTGCTGACAGGCCAAGCGGAGTATTTTCACTCACTAGCAGTTTTATTTCTCAGTGTAAGAAATAGAAATTGTCTTTCTGAATCCAAGTCAGTTGTGGAGAGTGTGGCTGGCATTAAAATATTCACCAGGATCCACCTGGGCACCTATTTCTGAACAAGGCAGTGTAGTAGAGCGGTTAAGAGCTCTTGAGACGGACATGAATTAAAATCCTGGCTGTGGGGCTGGCTCCACAGCCGAGTGGTTAAGTTCTTGCTCTCCGCTGCGGCGGCCCAGAGTTCAGATCCTGGGCGAGGACATGGCACCGCTCGTCAGGCCACGTTGAGGCAGCGTCCCATATCCCACAACTAGAAGGACATGCAACTAAGATATACAACTATGTACCGGGGGGGCTTGGGAAATAAAGCAGAAAAAAAAAAAAAAAGATTGGCAACAGTTGTTAGCCCAGGTGCCAATCCTTAAAAAAAAAAAAAAATCATTGCTGTATGATCTTGGCTGGGCAAATAACCAAAACTCACCAGGCTTCAGCTTTCTTCACTTAACAGTGAAGAAAAGTGGGGATAGTAAAAGGAGCTACCTCATCAGTTGCCACGATTAAGTGACATAATGTGTGTTCAGCCCTCCAGCAGGCCAGGATCTTCAAACATATTTAACCTAGAGGCAAATGGTCATTTTTAAAGACCCAGCCCAAACCAATAAAAATAAATAGAAGAATGCAATCCACTTTTTGGTGGAATCCCAGGTTTGGGGGCCTTGGATATGTTTTACCATTATATAGAGAATTTGCATCTATTTTTCTTGAATATACATTTTTGTAGGAAATGCTGAACACTCCCAGAGAAAGCAATTCAGCCCCCCTCCAATCCCTGGCTCCTAACCTCCACGTCTTTTCTACCTGCTGAGCTGAGATGAGCAACAGAAGTTCTTGGGTGACTTCTAAGCCTGTGCCGGCTCCCTTTGAAACTGCCCGCTGGATGGTTCACTCCTCCCGGGGCCCCAGTGGGGAGATGATAGAAACATTTTAGTTTATGTCTGAGTAGAGTAAACAGAGACAATGTTAAAGAGATTGTCAGTGAAGGATATGTTTAAGCAGAATAAAAGACCACACCAACAAGAACTAGAAAACAAAAGGTGCTGAGACGATACTTTTATTGTGCATAGGATTTAAAACTCCCCCTGGGGATGACTGATAATCATTTTCCAAATTCTAGGCAGTCATGTGTTAGTGCTTGTACCTCTCCCAGAATCAGCACCAGGCACAGGGATTTCTGGCATCATCAGTACTCAGCTTTTTCACACCACGTGGTCACAGCCTCCCCCAATACCACCTGGCTTCCTGTCTCTCCTAGAGCTCTCCACCCCAAATCCACACATCTTCTCCAAATCCCTAACTGTCTCTCTTTTTCCACCTCATCTCTCAGATGTCACTTCTTGTCCAGCCCTAGAGCAGTCTCAACTCTTTGGGCTAAAGGTCACGGGTCATCCAGTTTATCCCCCTGCCTCCACCTGGGATCCTTTTGCCTCATACAAGGGTTAAGACGGTGCTGTTCCGGCTCACACAGCTGAGCTATTTGAGACTCATTCCTTTCCACCATCTAATTCTTTTCATCTCATTATTTGACTGATGGCGATCAACAGATCAGGAAGAGGATTTTCCCCAGAAGTTGAGTGTGGTCCTTGGGTTGTGGTTTATGGCCATGCCTCCCTGGTCCCCTCCCACCAATTCCCATCTTCATCTTGGCCAGAAGGACACTACCAGGAGGAGGGAAGCATTGACTGCTGTCAGGGGTGGGGGTGGCCCCATCTGCTCATGAGGATAGTGGAGATGACCCAGTGTCTCTTGAGTCATGGATCATCCAGCCAGTTCTCTGCCATCCCTCTTCCCTGAGATTCTTCTTCCCCTCCTTTCCTCATTCACGATATTCATCTTTTAGACTCACTCTTTGCAGAAAGCCAGCCTGACTCACCCACTGACATCCAAGAAGGGTTATACTCCCTCCTCTGGCTTCCCTAACCCCAAGGTCAGATCTCTATCACAGCACCCATCACATGGTACTGTGATTTCCTCTTTATGTCTCTGTCTCTTCCCATGAGCTCCTTCAGATATGGGACAATTTTTAAAAATTTTTATTTTCATATCACCAGTGGCTACCATACTGCTTGGTTTATAATTAACACACAATAAATGTTTCTTGAGGATGTGAGTAAATTAACCCTAATATTTTTGGAAGAAAACAAGATGAAGAGAGATGAGATGCCTTGCTTAAGATCACACAATTGGTTGGTTACAGGGCTGGGTTTAGAATCCAGGTCTTCTGGCTCCAAATCCGGTATTCCCTCCTCTGCACAGCTACTTCTGTGCCTAGTGGGGATGGTGATGAGGAGGTCTGGCAGTGGTCTGAGTCCCCAGATACGCTGAGCATCCACTGGGCATGGAGGAAAGGGCTTCGTCAGCAGATTGAAGGTCATCTCATCTTGTCCCTTGCCAAAGTTCTGACTCATTATGTCATCTAAAGCAGCAATTTCTGTGCCAAGTCTTCCAGGTGATGCAGCCAGGGGTCAAGTCCATAAGGTCCTCTCTTTGAGACTTCTACTTAGAGGAGGGTAATTGCACCCTCTCAGGAGCTCAGAGAGAAACTAGACCCTCGGCCCCAGAGCCCAAAGAAGGGGAAGACCTTCTGGGTGAAGGAGGCAGTGAAAGTATAGATGGGCGTGTGAGTGACAGCATTGGCAAAAGTTACCCAGCCCACCTCATAGTCGATAGACACCCGCACCTTCTGGGGCTGCTCCTCCAGGGCCAGCCGTGTAGGGAAGGATCCCAGGGCTGAGACAAAGCCCCAAGCCAGTCTCAGGGCCCACACCCCCTCCTCCGGCCGCAGCCGAAGCTCGCCCTTCCGCTGCATGTCCTCGCTGACGACACCCACGGTGCAGCTGCCCCCGTGGACCAAGTCTACATTCACCACCCAGGTGTGTCTCCCTCCTGTAAAGCCACTGCTGGCCAGGACACAGGTGGCCCGGTCAAAACGCTGGGGGTTGTCTGGTGAGTTCTGCCATTTGTAGGAAAACCGAGCCTGCTTGTGGTCCTCAGATAAGAGGAGCTTGGGGTGGGAAGTCTGGGGGTCTAGAGAGATGTGAGCTGTGGGGAAAACCAAAAGCAACACAGATGTCAACAGACATGTTATCACCTTCAAGAAAGGCCTAAAAATCCCCCTTGGCATCCACCAGTTAGTGTTATTATCAACAATGTGTATAGTGCCTACACGCACCAGCAGCATGGTTATCACCTGGGAATGTGTTAGAACTAGACCCTCAGGCTTCACCCCAGACCACCTGAGATGGAATCTGCATCTTACCAAGATCCACAGGTGATTGGTGCGCATGTTAAAGCCCGAGAAGCATGCCTCCGAGGATGCGAGGATGCGCCAGCTGGATATCCACGCTCTCGTCTGGCTCTGTGCGGTCCTCTGGAAAGCAGTTCTGCTCCCTGCAAACTAGTTGACTCCCAAAGCTGTGTGTGCCTGCTCTGATCTCCTCCTGCTGCTGACACATCACCTCCTCCCCCTCCTGTATCTCCTATCTCGGAGGGTGGAGACAGTCTCCCCTCAGTCCTAACTTCATGATTCCTCCCTGGGCACTTATGACTCATTCACAGTCTTTGCTCCTGGCAAGCTCTCGGGCTCACTCGCAGGTTATTCATTCTGCCTCAGCAATTCTAAAATCATCAGAGTCAGAGAACCACTTTTTAACATCAAAAACTTCTGCAGACCCCTGCATAGTTACTTTTAGTATCCATAAATTGAGACAAATTCATAAATTCAGATACGTCCATGGGTTAGAGTCCCTTCCAATAAACAACTCTATGACTTCCCAAGGTCTTTGGCTGACAGACTGGAACAACAGCCTTGAGTGGGCTCCATTCTGTTCATTCCTTTCTCACCCAGAGGCTGCCCTCCTCCTAACACTCACCTAGGAAACAACACCTGAGAAGGAGTACAGGTTCCCAATGGTTCTAAGAATGCTATTCCAAACACAGATCAAAGTTCCCCTCCTCCAGGAAGCCTTTCTTGATAGACCTTGTCCCATTCTGATTTAATCTTTCTATCCCCTCATCATGAGCAGATCAGAACATGAGCTTCATGCCAGGTATGTGATATGTGTGTGCACCTGTCCTTTCTTCATGGTTCTCCTACACGCTTTATAAAGGCAGTGACGTGTGTGTGTGTGTGTGTGTGTGTGTGACAATATATTTGCAGAACTCTGCAAAGCTATCTGTCCTTTTCAATTTTAGATTCCTCATTCCCTCCCATCCTGACGTAGGCTGCTTACCTGGCTCATAGTCCAACTCAAAGCAGAGTGTTTCTGTAAAGAGGAAATAAAAAACAATGAGATTTCTTTAGTCTCACAAAACTGTAGAACATTTAATGATGAGGAAACAGGCCTAGAGAAGGGAAGGGACAAAGAGAAGAATGGAAGCCAGAACCCTCTCGACCAGTGGTTCTAAACTTGAGCTTGCACCAGAGTCCCCTGGAGCAGTTGCTAAAACACTCGTGTTTCTGATTCAGGCGGCCTGGGGTGGGGCTGAGAATCTGCGTTTCTAACAAGTTCCCAGGGGATGACGCTGCTGGCCAGGAGCCCCACTTTAAGACCCACTGCCCTAGCTCTGAGCGGCAGGGACCACGTCTGCCTTGCTCGCCTCTATATCCTCAGTGCCTCGCACACAGCCCAGGACATAGTCAATGTTCAAGAAACATCCACTTAATGAATGGATAACTGGGTTAATTTATTTCTCATTCTGCTTAGAAACAATTTTTTGGATAGTCAAAAGTCAGCCTTTGATTAGGGTAAAGTTTCCTCACTGCCAGGCTACTGGGAGTACTTGCAGGAAGTGGACTCATGCAGAAAGCTCTTCTAGGGTGACATTTTTGTGGGTGGGTCATCTAGAAATAGGTGGCATAGGTGGCATCACTCATGATGTCATATGTGAGGGGGGTGTTGGCAGAGAGCCACATTCATGACTCTCATTTCAAAGCCTCCAAACCCTATCCTACCACCACTCCCTGTTCCAGAAATGGGGGGCATTGTCACCACAGGAGCAGTTCAATTGTGAGAACCAGACTAATGGGGGAAAGCGAGAGAAAAGAGGAAGGAGGAAAGTCAGTCACCACAGGGCAAAGAGAAGTACTGTTGCTGGTTATTAATTAACAATATTCATCATCAAAAACTTATCATGTATTAAAAATGCCTCTGTGGATTTTTTAAATTATTGAGAATGACAGATTTCGTTAATCATTATCTTTTCTACTGCTTAATGCCAATTGATCAGATTTATTTGTTTACTTATTTTTCAAATCAGCTAAGTTTTTTCCAGAAGTCTTAACATTTATTATCTCTCTTCATTGTCACATCATCCTGATAAGTAGATTTTACAAAGATCTTCACATAAGGAAACCAAATCACAGGAAGGGTACAGCCTTGCCAAAAGTCACACGAGCATCAGGCAGCCTAGCATGGAGGCCATTCCTAAACCCAGGCTTCAGGGCCACCTGTGCCCTGTGGGGTCCTCTTACCTAGGAACGTCTTCATCTCCCTCTGCAGTGGAAGGGCCTGCTGGGGGAAGTCCCGAATCCTCTGGCCCAGTTCAGGGGACACAGCCTCTGGTTTCCGGCACTTTCTGGTTTCAGATCTAGGGACACAGAAATGGCGGGGTCTGGAAATTATCTGCCTTAGCAATGCCTCCAGACTCAGCCAGCTTCCTTCTTCTCACTGGACATGGAGATGCTAGTTCCCACAGGCACACAGGCCTCCTCTAGGGTGGACCCCACTGCCCACTCCTGGGCAATGCTATGCAGGGATGTGTGTCTATGGCTGTATGTGGGAATGCATTTGAGCATGAGCAAGTTTACACGTGAATTTTTATCCTTAATAAAGTGAGAATGTTGTATACTTTCATGGCAGTAACTAGGCATGTCGTGCATGTACATATATGTAAGAAGGAAAAGAGAAGAGAAAAACTGTACCGCTTACCTTATTAGAGTGCTTCTGATATCCTAGGAGAAGGGGAGAGAGAGAGCGGGGATTCAGTCTCCACCCTCCCCCTTCCCCTTTTCTTATAACTAGAAAGACAAAATACCATATTAATAGCCCTGGACAGAAAAAGGACCAGATCCTACAGTCACAGAGTTTTAGGGTTTACGAGGTTTCAAGGACCATGGAGCCCAACCTCTTTATTTTTTAGACTCAGATGTGAAGTGACCTGCTCCTGCTAGCTGGAGGCAAAGGCAAGTCCCATCCCACGGTCTCCTGTTTCTCAGCCCTGACTGTGTTCCCCTAAATCGTGTAGCCTTTCTGATGCCTTGTTGGGACCCCAATATCTCTCTTCCAGTGTGAGGAAGTGAAATAGACCAGGAAGAGCTTCCTGACTGGTGGGTCAGTCAGGATACAGAGAATAGCTCGCCTTGGAAATAGCACCTGACATTTGTTTACATAGTACATGATGCTTTTCAAAGTGCTACTTTCACTCCCATCTTACTGTTGGATCCTCACAAAATCCCCGTGAGGAAGATAAGGCAAGCATCTTCCCTATTTGATGGATAGTGGGATGGAGAGACCGAGACCAGGGAGCAAAGTCACCAGGGCATTCTTGACGAAGCAAAGACGAGAATTCAGAACTTCTGGTCCTGTGACCCAGCTTCTATCTGGGATACGGAGATGTGTGGGTGAAGGAGACATGGCTTAGACAAGGTAAAGATGCAGCAAATATAGGCGAGCACAGGTGGGGAGGGGCTCAGGCCTCACCGTCAGGAGCTCCCTTGCCGGCCTCTCTTTCTTCTCCTCTAGTTCTGCGATCAGGGCGCTAAATCGGCAGATCTCCTCAGTGATCAGGACATCAAACTCATCCCGTTGCTTCAAGATGTCCTCATCCAGCCTCTCCAGCTGGGCCAAGAGAATGTTCTGCTGTTCCTCCAGGAACTGGCTCAGATGCTCAAACTCGGAAATCACTTTTTGTCTCTTGGTGGCCACCTGAGTCTGAGGGGGCAGGAGGAAGTTATTCCTCCTTCTCCTCCTCCTCCTCTTCCTCTTCCCTCTTTTTCCTTCGTTCACTCCCATCTCCCTCCTGGCCCAGATCTTCCAAGGTCTGGTGGTAAAATCAGAGGCCCCCGCCCTGCCTTGGGTCCCCAGACAGACTTGGAACTGTAGGAAGGTTTCCTTTCCACCTGCCACACTATTTCTGGGAGCTAGACCACCCAGCCTTGCCTCAGCATCTTCTGCTGGAGCTTCTAAAAGGGTGGGGCTCAGAGGGGGTATAGAGGATATGGTGGGGACACACTGCCTCGTGCCTTTTACAAAATGCATACCACGTGCACAGCACTAAGCTACGTGACAGACACGGTCTCATTCAATCCTCACAGAAATTCAGTGAGGTAGTGACAATTTTTAATCTCCACTTTACAGATAAATAAACTGAGGATACAGAATTGTTTGAGATCATAAATCTAGTGAGCGTCAGAGTCAGGATTCGAACTCAGAATGACCTCACAGGCCTATATGCTATGTTGCCTCTGTTTCAGGGAGGCCCTGGACCTGAGGAAGAGGGTGCCCAGGGAAGGGATGATGACTTACCAGGAGGACTTGTATCCTTTCATTTTCTCTTGACTGGATTCCCTGAATCTCCTCTCTCTCTTTTCTTAGACACTCAAGACACTTCTGTATTTGTTTCTGGAGAGAAGGAGCATAAAAAGAGCATATAGTGTAGAAGAAGCATAAAATATTTAAGATGGAAACAATGATTTGTTAAGAGGTGGCCAACCCTCATCCAACACTCTGCCTCCAGGAATGGAATGACACAAGGGAAGACGTCATTCTCCTGCTGACAATGCCTGTGTCTTAACTGCCCTTGATAGCTTACTCTCTTTAGGTCTTGTTCCTTTGCTTTGTCCTCCAAGAATTCTGATCAGGGCTTTCCCCTTCTATCCTATGCCATCTCAGGCCGTGACTTGGTGTTCCCACCGGAGCCTTCTTTTCTTCAGGTTAAACACCCTAATTTATTTTGCCTTTGGTAAGTGATATTTGGGATCTGTCCTGAGCTTGAGATGCCGTTGTTTGAAATTATTCCTTGTTTGAAATATTATGCGTCCCAAAGGGAACACATCCCAACAACCTTCCTTTGTGAATGGAATCAATTTTCCATGTATGATTCTAGCGGGGGAGAAGAAACTTGGATAACGCAAAGGTAATCACTGAATTGTTTTAAAAGTTGCTTGCTCTAGAATAGAGTTAGGAACAGGTATACACATGTAAATGCCCATTTAGGTACTTTCCAAAATACATTTGGAACTCTCACCATCAAATGCTAATTAACTAATTGACATATACACATAGACACCCACTTGTATAAAACACAATACGTAAACAACTAAAACCAACACACACTCATTTAATGACACACAAAATTACACACCATATAAATCTACTCAATCTGCTTATATGTAAACACTAATTTATTCACAAACATGAGCATTCAAACAATTATATTTACACTTCAAATAGTCCGCCTCCAAAGCTCCCCCAAAGGTCCCAGTGCATCCCAGCACATGCTGGTACACGCACAAACATTAATACATATACACACCACTTGAGCAATCATTCTCTCAAATACAAACTCAGACCTCCTCAGATAGACCTGACTGATCCACTGCACAGACACGTACACTCATGTTGGTCTCTCATTCATTCAACAGGTATTTATTGAGTTCCTATTATGCATTGGCTATAAGTAAACAACACAGAACATGCTTAAAACACAAACATATAATCTTTCACGCCTGGCTCTGTTGCCTGGGTGATGATAGACGTAGGGAGATAAAATTTCGCTTCAGAGTGGCCCAAATCATCCACAACTCTGCTCTGATTCTTTTAGTTCAGTTTGATCCCAGACCTTCCCTGGGAAGCCCCCATTTCCCCTTTCCTACCCTGTAGGGACTCGCTGCATCCTCCAGGAAGCGCACGGTGTGGGCTCGGTGCTCCTGGGCCTCCCGGCACACCACACAGAGCTGCATCTCATCATCCTCACAGAAGAAGTAGACTTTCTCCCCATGTTCCCGGCAGACATCCTCCTCGCCTGAGCCTGGCAAGGACACCAGCTTGAGGCGCTCGATGTTCTCTACCACACTGGCCAGCTGCCAGTTGGGCCGGAAGCTCCCTGGGCGGAAAGGCTCCTTGCAGAGGGGGCAGGTGGGGGGCTCCTCAGAGTCTGGAACAGGGATCTCGAGGTAGCGGGTGAGGCAGCTGCGGCAGAAGTTGTGGCCACAGTCGATGGTGATCGGCTCCCTCAGGGTGCCTTGGCAGATGGGGCAGTTGACCTCGTCTGCCAGGCTAATCACAGAGGCGGCCGAGGCCATGGTGCTGCTGTGCCTGTGGCCTCTTCAAGGTCACCTGGTCTGCTCGGCTGAGGGGAAAGGGCTGGAAGAACAGTGAAGACACACATCACACACTCACACACCTACATGTGCACACAGCTGGACACAGACACATCTTAAATATGTACCAACACCCTCATTGTCACACACACACACTCACACACGCGTGCACAAGGGCAAGGCACCCACTTGCATCTCTGGTAGACAAAGTTCTGCTGTTCTCCTCCCAAAGGAACAGACACACACCCTCGAACAGCAGAGATGGAGAAATAGCAGAGGAGGAGGAGGAGGAAGGGGACGAAGAAGGGTCACAGCATTCCAGAGATGACCTCAGCTACTCTTCCCATCGGTGCCCATGACCTGGGGTTCACCGTTCCTTCCAGTCCCTCCAGAGACACTCACAGTAGAAGGCTAGTGCTGGTATCTTAACCATCCACAGTTGAAAGAGGTTGTTCTTCTTTCGGGGACAGGAGGAAGACTGGGTCACAGAGCAGTGATGCCACTCAGCCTCCCTGCACCGTGACCAGCTGTCTTCAGGGAGATTGGAGGTATCAGCCAGCCCAGGGGAGTGTGGGGACCCAGATAAGGTCGTTGTGCCCCGGGGACATGGCACAGGAAACTTCACTTGATGCCCCAACTGGCCTGCCAAAGGCTTCCAAAGAGGCTGGAATATACTCTGTGTGGGGGAGGAGAAAGAAAAATAGCAACAGCTCGCCCTTATTTATGATGACTATATTCCTCACACTGATGTAAGCAACTTAAACATACGATTTATTTATTCCTCCTGTCTGCTGTATAGTGTCACTGCTATTAGGAAATTAGCTGGCCTCAGCCCTGTTATGTAGCTTGCCCAAGGCACACGGGTAGGAAGGTGGGTGGCCACAATTTGCACTCAGATCTGTGTGTCTCAGAGCTGTGCTGTCCCAGAGAAACACAATGTGAGCCACATATGCAGTTTAAAATTTCCTAGTAGCCATATTTTAAAAAGTAAAAAGTGAAATCAATTTTAATAGTTCATTTAGCCCCAAAGATTATCATTTCAACATGCAAATGGTATAAAAAATTAGTAATGAGATAGTTTATATTCTTTTTCATTGGTGCTAAGTCTTTGAAATCTGGGGTGTATTTTACACAGGCAGCGTATCTCAGTTGGGACCGGCCACATCTCAAGGCTCCGCAGCCACATGTGCCTGGAGACTCCTGTGTTGGACAGCGCAGCCCCAGACGCTGCACTCTTGGGGCGGGGGGGAGGTAGGATGGGAAGAGAAGGTGACGGACAAAATAGTTGAAGTGAAAAGAGAATGAAATAGGGTGCGGGGCTGATCATTCAGTGGGAGAATGGGAGTGTCTCCTTGCTTTTTAACTACAGACGGAGGTAAGTGGATGAGGTACCATGGCCGTTTGATCATTGTCTTGGCTTGGAGTTCGGGAAGAGCACAGGCTGGAAGCTGGCAGCCTTGGATGGACCCCAACGTTGCTGCTTTCTAGTTCTCTGACCTGAGCAAGTCACTTCACCTTTCAGTTTACGTTTCTTTCTCTGTAAAATGGAAGTGATCATTCCTGCCCCAAAGGCTGTTATCAGATTTCATGTAGTAATACGAAAACACTAAGCCTTAGGTAAATATGGTTGAATCTGTTTATCTTCTTGACTAACTGAGTTTTCTAAATTTTGTTTATCAACATGATCATTTGAGTTATGGACAACATTACCCAAGCCCAAATGGGGACACTGGCACTCAGGGGTAGTGGGAGTTCAGAGCTTAGGAGACACCAGCCTGGGCAAATGGAGTGAGGCAAGGAAAGGAGGGCAGAGGGGGGGACCTTGTGAGCAATCATCCCACGGTGGACCTGCAGTGTCTGAACAGAGTCTCCCGGAAGTCAGTCAGCTACCACTCCGGCCTGGACTTTGCCGCTGTGGGCACACCTCAAAGCCAGAAGTTTATGGCTCCCACCTGCTCGAGTGAACAGGAAGCTGCATCTCCTACCCAGTTCTCCCCCACCCCACTGAGGTCAAGGGAGGGATTCCAGGAAACCCTATCTTCCTGTGACCTCACGGCATGCTCTGCTCCCCACCCCAGGGACCGGAAGGAGGCAGAAGGAGGCAGAAGGAGTGGAGAACAGGCTGACAGAGCCACTACTGGGAAATGCTGGGTAATTTGAGATGCCCTGGAGTTTGGACCTGCTCAACTGATGGGTGGTGGCCAGGGTTCTGGGGACGCACAAGAGGTGGAGCCAGGTGGCTTCCCTGTCCTGACGTTCCTGCCTTCCTGTCTCTTCACCTCCTATTTCTTTCCTTCTGTGACTCATGTAAAAGTGACTCAATTTCAGGGAAAGACAATTCGTGTGGCCTGAGACAGAGGCCTGAGTGGACGGGCTGGGGAAGGCACCGTGATGCCCTCAACCCCCGCTCACGAGGGGGCCTCCTGTCCTGCCTGCAAGGGGTCCCTGGAGCATTCAGTGACCGCCACCTGTGGACACACCTTCTGCTGGCTGTGCCTCGCCCTGCTCTCCCAGATGGGGGCCCAGCCCTCCAGCAGGGTCCTGCTCTGTCCCCTCTGCAAGGAGAAGGAGCAGACAGAGACTCTCATGGCCCCGGTGCCCCTGGGCCCTCTGGGGGAAACTTACTGCGAGGAGCACGGTGAGAAGATTTACTTCTTCTGTGAGAACGATGCTGAGTTACTCTGTGTGTTCTGCCGTGAGGGTCCCTCCCACCAGTCCCACAGCGTGGGCTTCCTCGATGAGGCCATTCAGCCCTACCGGGTAAGAAGCTTGGCTGTAGCTTGGACACGTTGGGGTGGGATAATGTCCTGTCCTGGTGAAGGGAGGGGGCGGGGATCTAGATGAAGGGCCACAGCTCCCACATCAGGGAACCCCAAGGCTGTAGGGACACTGGGGACAGCCCCAGACTGAGGGAGACATGGTTCCACTAAGCTGTGTGGTCACTTACAGTCTTAGGGGAACGCCAGCTCCAGCCATCAGGGGACCCCGCAGTGATGGAGCACAAAGAATTATAGCCATGGCCTCATTGCCTGAGGAAGGATAGAGAGCCCTGGGTGAACTTGGTCTCCCGGGATCCGGACTGGATATGGGATTCCCCAAAGCCCTGACCACTGGGGCTCAGAGGGAGGAGGGGGACAAGAAGGGAAACTTGCAAGTGCTGCTCTTCTTTTTGAGAAAGCGAGGTGCGGCACAGCCCATCTGGTCTTTGGGACGTTACCCATTCCTGTCTGCTTCTCAGATCTCTCTCTTGCTTCCAGTCACCCGGTCTGGGAGTAGTTTCCTCAGAAGCATGTCTCAAGTCCTTATCTCTGTATTATTCCCACAGCCACTGCCAAATCCGGGCTCTCATCATCTGTCACTCAGACTTTGCATGCTCTCTAGCACATTCCCTGTCTCCACTCTCACCTTTCCAACCACCCTCCAATCTGCTCCATTCTTCCAAAAATGCAAAGCCAATCATGATGCTGTCCTGCTCACTATCCTTCTCTGGATCCCTAGTGCCCAAAGAAAGCCTGATGTCCTTAGCAAGGATTTAAGGCTGTTTGCAGTCAGGATCTTGCCTTCCTGTCCAGTCTTATCTCTTAGCTGCCCTCCCCAAGGCACTATGTTTCCAGCCAGACTGACCTGTATAGACCTGATGTTTGCCGAATTGTTTTACTTTTTCCTGTTTCTAATACTTTTCACATGTAGATCCTGCCTCCTAGAATGCTGTCTTTCCCCCTGACCCTCTTTTTCTTTTTCACCTTTTTAACAATTTTTAAGTGTACAGTCAATTCAGGGGCATTAAGTACTCTCCTCCCCTGTCTTACTCAACTGGAAATTTATCTTTCAAGGCCAATGTAAATGTTTTCAGCTTTCTAAAATCTTCCTTTGGCCCTATAGCAGAATTGTGCCCCTCTGTGCTCCCATTTCACTGTGTGCCCACCTAGATTATTGCATTTGTCTATTTGTATTTTAATCACCCATGACCAACCCTTTCCCTAGATGGTGATCTCTTTAGGGACAAAAACTGTGTTTTTTCACCTTTGAATTCCTCGGCACTCAACAATGGGCCCAACAGGGTAGACAATTAATATCTCTGAGTTGAACTACGAATTAAGCCACCTCTTTGTGCCCAACATGGTAGACAATTAATATCTGTGAGTTGAATTATGAATTAAGCCACCTCTTTCTGCCCATTCTTCTCCCCACAGGATCGTCTCAGGAGCCGGCTGGAAGCTCTGAGCATGGAGAGAGATGAGATTGAGGAGATAAAGAGTCGGGAAGACCAGAAACTCCACGTGCTTCTGGTAAAGGCCGTGTCTTTGGCCGCCTTCTCCTGTGGAGGTTTTCTCAACAGATTCTGGGGAATTTTATTGTATGGTGTCTGTTGCCTGGCTGGAAAGAACTGGCAAAATGTTTTCCTTCTCCTCCCAGTCTTTGCACAAGGGCATTTGGGGCGAAGGTTGTGAAATTCAGAACATCAGAGCTGGAAGTGGTTCTGATATCTTCTAACCCACGATCCATCCTGTCAGCCATTTTTTTACAGAGCAGAAAATTGAGGTGCAGGAAAGTGATGCTCCCAAGGCCACATGGCAAAGCCCGAATTCGTGATGAAATGGCTAGAACCTGGGTCTCTTGATCCTTAGTCCATTGCTCTTCCCATTCTGGTCTGTCTGCCTGAAATCATTGCCTTCAGATGGGAAGCTTGGGGCCAGAAGGCGTATCTTAGTGTCTGCATTCTTGTCCTGACCACAAGGCTGACCTGAGGACAGTAGGCTAATGGTGTGGCTGCATTCAACTCCCTTCCATCTCTTTTTTTGTGCTAAAAGTTATCCAGGAGGAAATTTACAGTGTGGGAATTTCTGGTACCCTGACTAAGGAGATAGAGTTTTGGGACAGGAAGATCTCTCCAGCATCCCTCTACTTCCATCCGAGTGTGCCCTGTACATGGTGACCTCAGTGACTACGACCAATTCCACACACTCTTCCAATAAGTTGTGCTGACTCTAATCACAGCTTCTTTTCGCTTCAATTGCTCTCTAAGAAATGACCATAATAACCTCCACCTGACTCCAGGAAAGGTCTGGGAGGGTTAGGATGGTATCATAGATGTGGAAGGATGTCCGAAAAGTTCAACACGGCTCTAAGAGCATAATGTGGCATTATTATTAGAATCTCGAGGTAAGGGAAGAGCACAGCCCTGAACATTGATAAGTTTACCCTGAGACCTACCTACTTCTACCATAGTATTATTCGGGAGAATGAGTTTGAAACTAGTTATTCCCTATCTCTCTTAATCAACGGTAAGTACGTAGATGATCCTCCTGGAACCCAGCTCGGTGAGCTTCTCCCTAACCATGGCTATCTTTCTACCGCTCACAGACTCAGATTGAAAGCAAGAAGCAGCAGGTGGAAGCGGCTTTTGAGAGATTGCAGAAGGAGCTGGGGGAACAACAACGTCTCCTCCTGGCCAGGCTGAGGGAGCTGGAACAGCAGATCTGGAAGGAGAGGGACGAGTATGTCTCGAGGGTCTCTGAGGAGGTCGCCCGGCTTGGAGCCCAGGTCAAGGAGCTGGAGGAGAAGTGTCAGCAGCCAGCAAGTGAGCTTCTACAAGTGAGAGACACCCCACCACCTCATGGGATAGGAGAGGGATTCTACAGGAAGGGGACACGGTGCTGGGGGCCGGACGATGCTGGAGAGAGGCAGGAGAGGGAGGCAGAGGTTATTTCGAATAGGAGGAACTGAGTGTTACAGGGTTCCTTTGGCCCAGAGAGGTTACAGAGATGCCAACTCAGAAAGGCTGGGTGACTTGCCCACACACTGTGGTCAGGTCAAGGGCTTTGAGTTTAAGTGCCGGCTCTTCCAGCTGTGTGACCTTGGTCAGTCTCGTAACCTCCCTAAATGTGAGATAATAATAGCACCTCTCTCATTAGGGTCGTTGCAAAGATTATAAGAAACAATTCATGCAAAATGCTTAGCATGGTCCCTGGCACACAGAAAGAACTCAATAAACGGTGCCTCGTGTGATTATCACTATATTATCCTGTTTCACATCAGGCCCAGCTGATAACTCAAGGCCTGGTCCTGCTCTCCGCCATCTCTTAATTACTGGAGGCAGAACACACCCCCAGGATAAAGCTGAGACAGAGAAACCAGCTCAAGGAAACTGACTAGAGAGTCCCCAGTTAGTAAGGAACCATGATGTAAAAGAACAGTTTGATGAGTAGGTAATTAAACAGTTCCAATCCCTGGAGGAAGAGACTTTTGAGCTGATATGTTAAGGTAGAAAGGATGTATAGAATCTCTGATGGGAAGGACGTGTGGAAACTAAGTGTGTGTTCTTTTACCTTTGTAGGATGTCAGAGTCAACCAGAGCAGGTAGGGTGCATGCCCCAGTCCCGCCTCCTTTACACTTTGAGTATACACTTTACACTCCTTTACACGTCTCGCCTCCTTTATAGTAGACATGGAGACTGAAGGGGGAGGGGCGCTCCCTCCCCCTCCCCCATAGATGGCCACACAGGAAAGCAAAAGCACTCTGAGGGACACACTGTCTCATTCACTCACACGTAAGTGGCCCAGACTTAAAAGTTTGGGTTCTAAAGGTTCATTTTTAAACTGATTGCTTGGTATCAGGGACACATTTTTTCCCTAAAAGTGAAGTTATAAATAATAATCATGTTTTTTAGGCTGATCTGGTAACATCTATTTAATCCCTGAAATTGTTAGTACTTGAGTCAGTATTTATCACCATTTAACATGTAATTCTAAGGGGGAATATTTTCTATAGAATATAATAAGCACGGAACCTGGGAAGACCAGCCTGTTCTTTTCTTTTTTTGGTGAGGAAGATTGGCCCTGAACTAACATCTGTGCCAATCTTCCTCTACTTTGTATATGGGACACCACCACAGCATGGCTTGATGAGTGGTGTGTAGGTCCGAGCCTGGTATTTAAACTCAAGAACCCCATGCCACCAAAGCAGAGCACATGAACTTAACCACTACTGGGCCAGCCCCGACCTGCCAGTTCTTTCAATCATTTTTCCCACTCAGCTCCTTGGTTTCCTTCAGAATTTTCAAATGCTACTGTTAAATGAGAGCCACCAGGAGCTGGAAGCATTGTAAATACATACTCCTTTCCTCTTTGCTGGAAGCATCAGCAGTCAGCTCTGGAATGAACAGAGACACAATGACTAGGGAGCATTTGTCACATGCTGTGTGCCCATCCATGTTAGGGGGCTGAACCCAGGCGTCCACAAATCAGGAAGTGTCTCTAAACATGATTTTCACAGAGCTTTAGATCTAGGAGGGTCTTGGAGGTCTTCTAGTCTGATGAAGAAGCTGAGACCTAGTGGGGGAAGGTCACACAGAGAATGACAAGCAAGGACTGAGCTGAAACTGGAATCAAGGGCTTTTTCACTGCAATATATGTTTTCTTTCATCTCATTTTTTTTCTTCCTCCCATTTCCTTTCCCCTTGTAATGAAGCACACAAATTAGAAAGAATAATTTAAGGCTGCTTTCAAATGGTACCATACTGCCTTCTAGAGGCTAACATGGATAATGATCTCTGCTCCTTTTGGCCTCCACAGGCCCAAACATTCTCTTAAAAGACCCGCCTTTAATTCTTGAGGAGTGCTTACCATTAGTTCCTCTTGGGTCTAACTGAAATGCCTCTTGCTTTAGTAGCTACACATTTCCAGCAAAGGTAAAGAGTTGATTCTTAATCTAATTATTCACCACAGATACCAGATTTTGTTAAGTCTGATTTTAGCCTCACTTGGTCTATATCACCAGAATACTATTTTTGGAATTTGGACCTAACTGGTTACCAACTTGTCTGCAGGGGTGAGATGAAGACTTTTGTTAGTCCAGAGGCCATTTCCCCAGAACTTATCAAGAAGATCCGCGATCTCCACAGGAAAATACTCACGCTCCCAGACATGATGAGGGCCTTCTCAGGTAAAGAGGAAGGGCAGCAGCTTTCCCATTCCCTTTAGTTGCCCTTCTGCCTGCCATCCATCTCCATCTTTCCCCCGCTTCCAAACCTGGCTCAAGACGCCTTCCCTCCCCTAAGCCTTCCCTTAGCGATCCCACTCTCAGGGGGCCTGTTCCCCAGAGCATCTCCTTCTCCCCCTGAGGACCGGCACTGGGCTGAGAGTCCAGGCATCTCTCTCATTGGACCATAGCAGAGGGCGGGACTTCTCCCGTCCCTGCCCTCACATTGCTCCCAGGACACGCTGCCCCTGGGGTTGCCTGCAAGAAATAATAAGTCACAGATCTTTCTCTTTTGCTTTCCTCAGAAAACTTGGTGCAGCATCTGGAAACAGATTCAGGTAAACAGCTGGGGGTTTCAGGAGCCGTTCTTTCATTCTTCCATGCGTGAATTCATCCATTCAAACCAAGCAACAGAGCGATTAAATATATGAATTCTGGAGCTTGATTGCTTGGGTGCTCTATTCTAGCTCTTGCTAGTTATGAGACACTGGAAAAGTTATGAAGCCTCTTTGTCCCACAGTTTCTTCCTCTATAAAATGGAGAATATAATAGTACCTACCGCACAAGCAGCTGTGAGGTAAATGAATTCAGAGTTCCTGCAAAAAGCTTAACTACCTGGCACACAGTAAGTGTTCAGTTAATGGTAGTTACTTGTACAGATATTATTTATTCAAAAATATTTATCAAGCCCTTGTTTTCTGCCCAGCATTGTGCTAGACTGTTTAGTGAGTTGAACAAATATTGTCTAATTTTTTTTTAAAACAGCATTTCCTCGTAAATTGGTGCTTAATTTAGAAAGTAGTTTCACAAGCATCACCTCATTTTGCTTCTCAAACAATGTGCGGAAAAATCACCTGAGGGATCTGGTTAAGGTCAAGTTCTGACGCAGTAGGTCTGCAATGGGGCCCAAGATTCCGCGCTTCTCACAAACTCCCAGGCAAAGAGGTTGCCGCTGGTCCCTGGACCGCACTTTGAGAAGCAAAGCCTTACAGCTCAGCACCATTTGCGGTGAGGTAGGAGAGCTGTCATCTCTGTCCTCAGGGAAAGGAAGGGAAACTGAGGTTCAGAGAAGCGGGCTAATGGCATGCTGCACGAGGCGGGTGCTCTTTCTGCCTCCCACGCACATTGCACGGGCTCTAAGGGCATTTTTGGTTGCTGCCAGCTGCTGATGTCCGCCCTTTCCTCTCTCTAGGGGTCGTTACTCTGGACCCTCAGACCGCCAGCCGGAGCCTGGTCCTCTCTGAGGACAGGAAGTCAGCGAGGTACACCCGGCAGAAGCAGAAGCTGCCCGACAGCCCTCTGCCCTTCGAGGGCCTCCCAGTGGTGCTGGGCTCGCGGGGCTTCTCCTTCGGGCGCCACCGCTGGCAGGTGGAGGTGCAGCTGGGAGACGGCGGCGGCTGCATGGTGGGGGTGGCCGGGGAGGAGGTGAGGAGGAAGGGTCTGAAAGCTGAGGAGGGCGTCTGGGCCGTGATCATCTCGCAGCAGCGGTGCTGGGCCAGCACCTCCCCGGGCACAGATCTGCAGCTGAGCGAGATCCCGCGCAGCGTGGGCGTCACCCTAGACTACGAGGCGGGGCGGGTGACCCTCCTGAACGCTGAGACCCAGGCGCCCATCTTCACCTTCACCGCCTCTTTCTCCGGCAAAGTCTTCCCTTTCTTCGCCGTCTGGAAAAAAGGTTCCTGCCTGACTTTGAAAGGCTGAGGTGGAGCGTCCGAAAGGCGGTGTAGCGGGGAAAGCAGCGCGCTGGGATCCAGCCCTGCCCCTGGCCAGCCCCGTGACCCCGGGGGATTTCTTGTGCGCTAGCGAAGTGGGAGGACGCCGGATGTCAGAGTATCCGTTCAGCTTTGTAATTGTTTTTACTTTATTTATCTTATGTCCTTCACTCCCTGACGCCCTGATCCTCCCCGTGACGCTTCGTCTTCTCTGTACCTCCTGGTGGAGAACCAGGGGCAGGCTAGGCTGTGCCTACGGCATCAGCAAAGCTGGGGAGCCAGCGGATCTTTGGAAAAAAATAAAAATCTAAAATAATTTAAAAAGCTTCACAATAATTATGATGGGAAGAAACAGAACTTTGTTGGGCTTGCAGTAATTTATCCAGCTGATTGTTTTTATTTTGACATACACGTGGAGATGCTCCTGCCTTTGCAGGGTTTAGGGCCTCTTCCCCCAGCCCTGGGTGGACCCAGGTCCCCTTCCTTTCTGACACCCTTCAGGTCATTTATCTTTCTTGTAGAGAATGCCCTAATAAAATGTGCGATCCCGCCAGACTTCTGCATTTCATGTGTCTAATCAGTGCTGACGGGGCTGAAGGAAAGACTGAAGCCAGTGGTCCCTGTGACCAAGACACAGTCCTGTCCCTTCTTTCACTCAGGACTTGCCTGATGGCAGTGGCGCCAAACGCCGTTGTCCAAAAAAATGAGGCTTGTGTTCAGGGCTAACTAACCTCTCAAATATTTATAATTATTACTATTGTTACGATTGGACACAGAAACAGACCACACATTAAAATAATTTCGCAAAGCAAGCTATGAATCTCTGTAAGGACGATGATTCCCACACCACCGCCACCCCCCTTTCTGATTCTAGCCCTCTCTCCTCTCATGTTTAACACTCACATTCCCACCCTCCCGCCCCAACCCCTGAAGAAACCTACCTTTATCCCCAAACCAGGTTCCTCTGGTATGAGTCTGTGTACAAGATCACCTTCTTTATCATATGAGCCCTGCTCCTGAAGTGTGGGGTCAAACGTTTTAGAGAGCTTCTAAGTGCTTGTACCATATGTGAATTTCATTACAAAGTTCTATTACAAATCATTGTGATGTGAATAATTACTCCCAATATAACCAGGCAGGTAGACAGCCTTGTTATAAAAGAAGCCAGAGGATTAAGAGTTTCTTCTGCCTTCCCAGGTGACAGGCAGAACCACCCTGTGTCTAACCCAGAAAAAAATCAAATTGTTTTTACAGAAGTCGAAATATAATGATGTACACCTGAATTTTATATAATGTCATAAACCAATGTTACCTCAATTAAAAAAAATACGGCCCAGGCCAGCCCAGTGGCCTAGCGGTTCACTTAGCATGCACCGTAGTGGTTAAGCAGTTCAGTTCTCATGCTCCGCTTCTGTGACCCGGGATTTGCAGGTTCAGATCCCAGGGTGGACCTACACACGGCTCATCAAGCCGTGCTGTGGCAGCATCCCACATACAAAATGGAGGAAGATTGGCACAAATGTTAGTTAGCTCAGCGACAATCTTCCTCACCAAAAAAAAAATGTGTATATATATATACTACCCATAAAAAAAATCAAGTTGTTTGGTAGTCAGCCAAGTAGTAGGAGTAGTATTGCCTAATGTTTATTATAAAAGTAGTTTATGCACATAGTTAAAAAAAGGTGCAAACATTTTCAAAGAGTCTAGGTGCAAAGCCTCTCTCTCCACCTCTCAACACTCCCTCTTATCACATCCCATACATGACCATTGGTATCAAATTTTGTATATCCTGCCAGTTTTATATACAAGTGTATTTAGCTTTTTTTTTACACAAATGAGGCTGTATCATAAATACTTGTTGCAACCCCCACCCCAAGGAAAAAGTATATGCAACATGTGCCCATTGTAACATTGTCAAACATTACGAAATCAAAGTTTTTTTTCAAATATATACATCTTCCTTTGAAACTTATAATAAACCTGTGACACACATAGGACTTATTTTGTTTTTCTCATTCTGTGGTTGAGAAAACTGGCACACAGTTAAATGAACTTGTCCGACAAGTTTCACAGCTGGTCTCTGTGATCTGCTGGAAGGAGGACCTACAGGTCCTGGTCCTCAGTCCCTCAGGACCATGAACTTTAGACGCTCAGACAAATCACAATGGGGCTTTGTTTCATTTCCTCTGCACGGAACTAGTGTTTTCGACAAGCAAAGCTTTTTTGGTTGAGTATAGGATTGAAAAAACAAATGAACAACTTACATTCTATTTCCAAGCCTCTTGTACTTCTAATTTTAGGGTGGACCAGGTAATTTAGGGGTGTGGACATGCACATTTGGAGGCCCTGGGCCAAAATTAAATTGCCCTGCATAGGAAAGAAAGGAGAAATTAGAAGCCCAAAGGGGAAGGTTTAGGAACAGCCAAGAACCAAGGATGAGGACTGGCAGCTGCCTGGAGGAAAAGCAGAGGAAAACAATCCATTTGGTGGCGCCGCTGGAGTCTGAGGTTATCTGTGTTGCAGTGTTTGGGGGGTAAAACTATCCTTGATCTCTTTTAGAGGATCAGCGCAATCTACGTTGGTCTCACTGCTTTTGTAAGCACTGCTGATTTCTGGGAATGTGAGAGTTTGGAGTCCTGTCCACTACTGCACGGGAGGCAAAAAGAGAGCCCACGAAAGAATGGCCAGGCTGCTGGATTACACAAGGAGCAGTCACACACTCAAGGTGCCCCAGAGAAGCAGAGGGGTGATTGTAAGGACCGAGGTGGGATCTGTAAGAGGAATCTCTCCACAGCCTAAGAGCGGTGATTACGGTGGGCCGGATGTGATGGGAACTGCAGTCTTGGCAGATGCCTTGTTTCTGGTCCACTTGCTTTGCTCTGCGTGTAGGGCCCATTTCTCTGTGCACGGGCAGGCTGCTGGCTTTCCTTGTGTCCTTTATGTTCGCCATCACTTCAGTGCTTTCATTTTTTCAGACTCCAGTGTAGAGAGTTGGCTCAATCATACTCCTCAGTTCTTGGTACATAATCATCGCCAGTCCATGCCAGTTCTTCTTGTTTGGTTTGTATTTTCTCCTTTATCTCTAATTCTCAGTCTCATTCTCCTCACCCCCATAGGCAGCTACTATCTAATGTTTTTTATGTGTCCTTGGATACAGAAGAATCCTTGAATATATAAATAGTACAGTACTATATCTGTTTCTTACTTTTTTAAACCCAGTACCGTGGTTTTAAGATCTAGTTGTGTTGCTGTATATATATCTAGTTTATGGCTTCTAATTGCTGGATAGTATTCAATAGTACACATTCTCCGCATTTTACTGTACTTTCTTTTGGCAAAGAACATCTAGGTTACCTCATCTGCCTATGACAATAAGCAACGCTGTGAAGAACAGCCTCATACTTTTCCCTTATGAACCTGGGTAAGAGGCTGTCTAAGATACATCCCGGGAGTGGATGGCTGGAATTTGCACAGTTTCCATTAGTACCACCAAATTGCTCCCCAGAATGGCTATATCCACTTACATTTCCACCAGAGGGGCAGGGAGGTTCCTGCTCCCTCACCACCCACCCCAGCAATAGATACAATCAAACTTGCTAATTTCTGGAAATCTGATGACTATAAAGTGATAGCTCACTGTTGTTTTATTTTTGTCTTTTTCTGACTACCAGTGAGGTTGTGCATCTTCTGTAATTTTCTATCGACATCTTTTGCCCATTTTTCAATTTCCTATCTTTGTTTCATTGACTTCCAGGAATTTCTTGCATATTCTAAATGTTACTCTCTTGATCACTTTTGACTTGAAATTATCACTCATTTATTAATCATTATTAAATAATCACCATTATTAAATAATGGTGTTATTTGTTAGATAGAAGTCTTAAATTTTGGTAATAAATTTTTCACTGTGGTTTATGTTTTTAAGATCTTTTTCACCACCACAAGATCATATATATATGATTTTATATCATATATAAATATGTGATATGTGTTTATATATATATATTTCCACTCGTTTTATAAGTTTACTGTTCATATTAATATCTTTAGTTTACCTGGTGTGAAGAAGACAATCAACTTTATTTTTCTGCGTACACTGAACCAGTTTTTCCAACTCCATCTACTTAAATAATCCATCTTATTCCCACTGATTGGTGGTGCCACTTCTAATATACCAATTTCCCATGATTACAGGTTTGTCTTTCCCTGAACCAGTGTATCCTGCTTTTCTGTTGCTACGACTTTGTCGTATACCCTGATGTCTAATAGGGCTACTCCCTCCTCTTTGATTCTTTTTCAAATTTTTTTTTTTTTTTAGGAAGATTAGCCCTGAGCTAAAATCTGCTGCCAATCCTCCTCTTTTTGCTGAGTAAGACTGGCCCTGAGCTAACATCCATGCCCATCTTCCTCTACTTTATGTGTGGGACGCCTACCACAACATGGCTTACCAAGCGGTGCCGTGTCCGCACCTGGGATCTGAACCTGTGAACCCTGGGCCGCTGAAGCAGAATGTGCACACTTAACCACTGCACCAATGGGCCAGCCCTAATTCTTTTTCAAATTGATCTTAGCTATTTATAGACCTTTATGCTTTCACACAAATTTAGAAGCAATTTTTCAGCTTCTTTAAAAAAAATCCTCATGCCCTTTTAATTGAAATTGAATGAAATTTTATTGAATCTGGGGAGGATTGGGGGAAATTAATTTGGAAAAAACTGACATTGTCATCCTATCCAGAAACATGTTATCTCTCTGGCTGTTTAGATCTAGTTTTATGTCCTTTAATGGGATTTTGAAATTTTCCTCCACAGAACAATTTGGCAATATCTGGTAACATGCCTATCCTTTGATTCAGTAATTCTCCCTTTAGAGAAATGTTCACACACACATACAATGAAACACATTCAAAATAGTTCAGTACAGTATAGTTTAAATTTTAGAATGGATAATAAATTTTAGTATATTCATATAGTATACTACTATACAACAGTTAAAATGAATGAATTGCAGCTGCATGTACCTGTTGCATAAATTTCAAAAACACACTGTTGAATAATGAAAAATACAAGTTAAAAAAATATATATTGTTCTATTTTTAAAAGTTTGGAAACACACAAAACAATTCTATATATTGTTTATGGAAACTTATTTTTGTGGTAATTCCATAAAAAGAAGCGAGGGACTGTTGAACTGTAAATTCAGCCATAGTGGTTACTTCTGGTTAGGAAGGTAGGAGGGAAATGTGATTGCAAAAGTGGTACCCAGAGGGTATCAACTATACTTTTAATGTTTTATTTTCTAGGGAAAAACTAAATCATATTTGCCAAAAGATAACTGTTTGATGGGGTTGAGTGGTGGGTATACGATTGTTCATTAGGTTACTTAGAGCCCTTATCTGTAGATCTGAAATATTTTATAAGAAAAAACAAAACTAGATCTTCATAAAGTTTGTACGTTTGGGTGAAGCTATGATATAATTCTTGCATTTCTTTTTCGAAAAATTGTTCTTTTAAATTATAATTATAGTTGGTTGTTGC